CTTTTGTCGTCGTTTGTAAGCAGAGGCCTTTGTCTTGTTTTCTTTTGGAGCAACCCTGTGACCGGCTGTTGAACCTAATAAATTTCACTACAAATGCAGGCCACTTACCATTTCAAGTTTGGAAAGATTACAAAAAAGGGACTCAAAATTGAGGTCACAAAAAACATTGCCACTAAACTTTGCCAGGCTCTTCGAGCCTAAAGTCACAAGTTTATTTGACGGATCAACCAAACATGACTGCAAATCATCTTAGCCGCAAATGCGAGTAAAATGGTAAGTATATGGAGGTAAAACGGTCTCATAAGTCACAAATACACAGAACAAGATTCACATTTGTATTTTTGATGCAAAACACAAATATATCTTTATTTCCAAGCTGCTTCTGGCCTGTGGGTTGCGCTGGATTTGTGTGTGAAGTTTGACACTCCCCTAACATTTGAAATTTTTTTTTTAAATAAACGATCTCTCTGACTGGATGATCAGCAACAAATCGGATAGCTTCCTTGTTTCAGCCAATCATATTAACCCATTCCATGTTTTGCTTGTTTTACTGGTGTGTCTACTAATTGCTACATTTTCATCCTTACAACACATTGACACAAAACACAACATGAGTTCCAAATCCATTGACCTTCTTCCCTTTTATTTAATGCCAACTAATTAGCAGTTTTCAGTTAAGACTATTTAACGTGCTACCAGCTAGTCAGTTCACTGGACTAGCTGCTTTGCGATCATGCCTGCTTATGCTCGACATAGTTGTCAAAAATAACAACAGTGTAAATAACTGAACTGAGGCACAACATTCTTCAAACTTTAAACATGCACTTAACTTGAAATGTTATATTTAAAGCTCTTATTAACAGGACTTCCTCGAAAAGGGGCGGATAGTGCAGCTTGTGCTGCTGACTCATCATCTTCTGACATTTTAATTCCCAGACGCAGTGAAACCAGCCAACTGCTGTTTGTAAAGTTGCACCAGACAGAAACCAGGCAGGCGTTTTAGTTCATTTAATATCCACAGCTTGTGGGACAAGTCATGTTCACACCTTTATGTATCAGTTTAATGTACTGCCTAAACACACACACACACACACACACACAAAAAAAAAAAGAGGAGCTCTGAAAATGTTGCGGCAGTGCACCCAACTGAAAAAGGTGGAGCTGTCGGAGCTGAAATCTATTATTATAAAGTCCTGGTGAGAGACATAAAGTATTCGGGTAACTCAGACGTCAACCTGAGCTCACCTGGCAGAGGAGACGATGAGCTGCGAGTCTTTGTATGCAATCAGATAACCCTGGTTTTCTGGGTTCTGCACAGTCACCTGTTAGCAGAAGATGACAGAGTGAGACACACAAAGCGAAAGATTTAAAAAGGAACCAGGAACATTCAGGTTTAACCCAGATGTCTCAAAAAGTTGTTTCGACTGTGCCTTTCATCCGGTGACGAAAAGAAAATCTCAATATAGAAAAACTTTTTTTTGTCCTCCAGTCTCACCTTTTTGCACAAGTTTTGAGAAACTTGAAAAGACGCTACTTACACTTTCAAGCACTCTCAGACACCTCTCGGCTCCCCACAAAGATTCTACGAGTTTCTCCTTGTCATCTTCCTGGCTCAGGTTCTCCACGCACTCTTTCACTGTGGCGGCACAACACAAACGGCACACTTGACTTTTCACGTGGTTAAACCACAGAGCAGAAGCAATCAAGCAGGAGGATTCAAAACACACACACACACACGCACACACACACACACACACACACACACACACACAGACCTTTATCCACAATATGGTCCAGGCCTCCTAGCAGCCGAAGTTCTTCTTTGAACCAATCGCCCGCTCTCTTGGAGGTCAGGGATAATAGCGCCTCCATGGCGAGATGGCCCGTCTGCACGAGGAGATGCGTTTGAGTTTTAGATTGATTGATTATATATTGTATCCCGAATGTCAACGTGAAGCACAGAGATGTTTAGAAAAGAAAAACATAAATAAACATAGACATGCAGACGCAGGATAGTCTCAGGATTCGTAGCTTTTTATTCATCACATTTCTGGAGAACTACGTAGATCAACAATCAGAATTCTTCGATAAGACCCTGAGACTTAGCAATTAAATTCAAGATTACTATAGCAATAAAAATGGAAGTAAAAGTTAGGTTAGACGTCGCCACAAGTTTTCAAAAGGACGACCTACCGTGATGTTTTCCAAGTCGAGATGCTTGTTGTGCACGGTCTCGCACAGCTTCCTGATCTTCTCCTTGACCTTCGCCACTTCCTTGGCGGTGAGCTGATCCTGGTCGCCTGAGTAGTCCTGGTCCAGCTCCAGCAGCTTGATCATGAGCTCCAGACACGCCCGGTCCAGATCCATGTTGAGCCGATCTCGACTCAGGATGTACATCAGCGCGGCGGTGCACAGAGCGAGGTTCTGGACAAAATGTAAGAGTTTCTTAAGAAAGTTGGTTTAATGTTTGTGAAAACTGCCAATTGAAATCCAGGTTAACAACAGACACCAAGTTAGTTTGTGTTGATCACAATAAGTTACACAATTAAAAGAAAGTCGGACTATTAATAAGCCTCTGTTCTGTGAAAGAATACAACAGCATATTGCTGAATTGACCCAGGTGTGGGGCATAATTATAGCGTTTCCAGCACTTCAACTAGACCTGGCGCTTTAAGATGACGAAGCTTAATGCAACATTGCATTTACGTGCAACAAACGAACGGACAGACAGAGTCGAGGTCGACGTACCGGATGCTGCGGAGCGTCACTGAGCATCTTGAAGACCTGAGCCACTTTGCCTCGGGCCCGGAGGTGCATCCTGAAACTCGGCATGGCGCACCGTGTGGCCAGGCTGATTATACTGCAAGACAATAGAGTGTGGAAATTACAGCATTATCCATGACTCTTTGTGAAACTTAAGGGGCCAGAATGAGAGACGGGCTACCACTGATTCACTCTGCATCACACACACACACGGTGGGAACTAAAGGTTAACCCAGAAGACAGCTTGACCAATGGACCAGCTAAGACCAGTGTGCTATTATTGTGTAACGAGTAAAAATAAATAATGGTAAGAGAATAAGCACAGAAAGTTCAGTTAAACATGTTCTATATTTCTGCATATCAAAATCAATAAATAAATGTTATAGCGTTATTATGACAGCACCGATCTATTTTACTGTAGCTTAATATAAACAAGTATTTGAGTAATGTGTTGTAGTTTAGTAAAAATGTATTTTTTTTTTTAGTCTCTTCTGTTTTAGTGAAAACTATTTGTGTCATGTTAGAATCCATTGTGTAATTTTTCAAGAGGTTACCATAAAGTGAAAATACACTCTTGTAAAAACCCTGGATGAAAATAAAATGTCCACAATCAAACGTCTCTGAAAGACATTTGTCTTAAAATGCGGTGAATGAACTTTAAAAAAAAAACAACAAGTGCGCTCTGCCCGTTTCGTCAATTCAAGTGAGGCAACTAAAACTCACTACAATGAAGGTGGGAGTTAAAAACACCGACATCACATCACAGAAGTGCGAGGGACGGGCAGCGAGCGTCTCCCCTGCACTTACCTAAGGCATCTCGTGTTAAGTGGCTGGCTGCTCTTCAGTCCCGTCTCCAGGTACTCAAAGTCGTCGGTGAACTCTTGATTCTCTCCAAACTCCACCACGTCGTTGAAGTGCTTCACATGCTGCACCACCGTGTACAGCTGTTGCAAGAGGAATGGGATTAATTACATCTGTCCGGAGACACAATCAGCCGGGGGGGGGGAGGGGAGCACATTTGCGCCAATATCGATGGAATGGCCCCGCGCCGGCCGCTAAGCCCCCTCCGATGGTTCCATTACCGGCAATTGCTGACTGCGCTAATTTGCAGTCAATTTGCAATCATCAATAACGGTTCAAGCGTTAAGGCCTGATCAGCAGTTCCTTCTGCACGTCCACCAGTCGCAACGAGAGTGTCGGGTGTGCTCAGCATGATGCCAACTACAGCTTTAGTGCGAGGCAAAAACCTCTGCACTTCAGGCGATCTGTGGCCCTGGAGGCCCAGAGCATAATCTCTGTCCAGGAGGCCCATCATTAACATAAGTAATCTATGGGGGATTTAAAATTATTAGCAACAATTCTGGTTGAAAAGACTGACTGTTGCATCTAAAAAAAGAAAGAAAAAAAAAAGATCCATAAACTAAACATCAATTGCAATTACCAGAGACCCCGTCTCGCTGTGCCTTCCACTCACCTCTTTGTCTTCTTTCCTGCATTTGAGTGCCGTGACAATCTCTTGGTTGGGCCGTGTGGGGATGGTTTCCGATTTGATGACTTTTGGTGGCGGTGGAGGCGCTTTGAACAAGCCGTCGTCTTTGTGAGAGTTGCTGTCCTTGCTGCCGCTCGACAAAACGGCCTGAAGAAGGAAGAGGAGGAAATGAGCAGAGAGAGAAGGAGAGAGAGAAAATATATATATATATATATATATATATATATATATATATATATATATATATATATAAAAGTCTGACCAAAGTAACGAAATCTGCGTAATGGGCCCGTCTACAAGGTTTACCGCTGCTGAACAGTTTAGGAGCATGTGTGCAAGTAAGCGCTTTAAACAGATGTCGGAGGAGATGGAGCAAAGTCAACAGTTAATTTTAAGAAAGCCTGCGCCCGAGCTCTTTGTCTCTGAACAAACATTTATTTCCATGGGGTAAATTCAGCTCAGAGGGTAAATAAAGAAGCAGAGCTGGACTCGCTTGTCCGACCGCATCGGTCAAAACACAGACTTGGAAATTAAAAAAAAAAAAAAAAAAAAAAAAAAGAAAAAGAAAAGAGGTCTGTTGCAATAAGCGTTTAATCAATTAATCGGATGATAAATTAAAATAAGCTTGATAAAATTCATTGCGATTTGTTTAGAGAGACTTCATAATCCAATTTTTTTTGGTTTTGGTTTTTATTTCTGCTTTATTTATCGTTTTTTTTTTATTTTGGATATTGAAATTATCTTCCAGTTTCAGTGCTAAGTGTTATTTACAAAATTAAAGCTTATTGGTATTTGAGAGGGCAAACTTGCGTTATTATGCTCTATTATCGATACGTTACTTGAAAATAGTGCCAAAAGTAGCAATATTATCATTTATAGCAATAATAACTTGAGAAAACAAACTGAACTCCCTTTTGTCATTTGCTTTACATAATATTCCTTAGAGAACAGCTCTAGTTGAACAACAGGCATGCATATTTTCTAAATGACACAATCTTTAAATACACTGGAATCTTACAAAGTGCTGACAGATGCAAATAACACAAACTCGTGGTCTTACCGGGGAGGTCTGAGATCGAGAAAGTGGAGGCACAGGAATCTCTTCGGGTTCCGGTTGGTTCCAGTGTCGAGCGTTGTACACAGCTTTAGAAGGAGACTAAAAACAAAACAAAACAACAACAAAAAAAAATCAGATCTGTCAGTTCAACAGAACGCCAATCATAAATTTCATTTCATGATTAAAGAGGAACCATGAAAAATAGTTGTACAGAGTATGAGACAAATTAACAAACTACTTTAAAAATGTGATTTTTTTCCCTTTACTTCCCTGATCAAAAGAAGTTTGTTACAGAAAAAATAAAAAATAAAAGCGGTGATGAAAGTTGCTACCCAGACGGTCAGGTTTAGAAGTTGCTGACCCGGGAAGGCTGACTCATTCATTTCCACCCTTGTAGCAGCATCCTAGTACTTTTAAGTCATTCACAGAGAGTTGGGGGTCGCTGGAAAAAAAAAACATTCATTTTGAAAGCAGAATACTCTGCTTATTGCATATAGTTTAGTTATTTAATTTCAATAAATGGGAGAAAGCTCATGCGGTTGTTTTAATCAGGGCAGCTGTAGGCTCAGTCTGGAGCCGAAGAATCTCCCAGCAGCACAGAAACGCTTCCTGTAAATAACACATTCTGTGACTCAAGCACACACTGCGCAGGCGATGCACCAACTTATGCTGAGGATGGCGGTAACGGCAGAGGACAGAGCACAAACAACCCAAAGCCACGGCAAAGTAAGATTCAAATAAAACAGGAAAATGTGCTCTGAAAAACACCACTAATTCAGGACTGAATTATTAAAACGAAAAAAAAAAAAAAAACATCAAAATAGGAGGTAATGATCTAAACTCTTCACACAACACCCACATTTTCAACGAAGCACACGTTTGCCGTGCTGGTGTAAGGCGTAATTAAAGCTGGACTTTAACATCGGGCGCTTGGCGCGACGAGATGCAACTCAAACATAAATTACAGGTGAATCACGGCATTCGCTCAGAAAAGTGTCAACAGAACCAGCCCATCAGATTTAGTAGTTTGTAAACAACATGGGGTATACTTTTCTTGTTACTGCCTCACCTGTGAAAGGAGCTTCCTGAAGCACTGAGGGCACTACGGAGTACCGGCGCTGTTGGAAGTTTAGTTCCGCTTTCTATATTAACATTTGGTTTTATTTCTGTTGCTCTTTATTTGTTATCTTAGTTTTGAGACCCATCGGTTTCTTCAGTCACGTAATCCAACGCTAACACTGCCAACAGATTTGTGTGCATTTTGCCCCCATATTTTCATACTTGAGCATTAATATAATGAGAAACCTCTCACAGAAGGTACTAAATAACACACGGAAAATAACTTTTGTGGAAAAAAAAAAAAACAGTTAAATTACATATGAACACACACAGAAAAAAAAATAAGTTACCTTTTTGGGTCCACTGAAAATCTTTTTGAGTCCAGTGGAGGAGTCCTTCGATTTGTCACCTTGCCTTCCTGTTCGCCCTTTCTGACCCTCAGCGACTCCAGGGCTGGAGTCATCAGAGAAGTCAAAAGCATCTGTTGAAAAAGTCAAGTATGCTCTTTAAATATGCTCAGCAAAACAAAAAAAAAAAAAAACCTTACAACATTTGAGAGCTTAAATATACCACAGTGGCAAAGAAAAATGTACTTGTGGGATGAGTAGACATCTTATTCTGCCGTTGAATGCCGTTAAGACTTTGTTTTTCAACCAAGCACAAATTTTAGGGATGCACGATATTGGATTTTCGGTCAATATCCGATATGCCAATATACGAAAGCTCGCTTGGACGATACCAACACAGATATTTTTTTCTATACCCACTTACTGAAACTATACGTCTTTCTCTACTGTGGGGTTGAAATACTGCACCGTCTTTGTCAATTTAACCTGCTGCCAAATAAAATGCTAAAAAGGAGGCTGAAAATTACGTAACACTTAACTTGCATTGTGTTTAATGTCAAATTGATTCATGTCATTTGCTCTCTCTAAGACAATGACAACATTCAAACAGTGCAAATTTGTAAACCTTCACAAAACTAAACCTAACCTGTTCACAAGCAACAAGTGAAAAGCACATCAGTCGTGCATTAACACTTAAGTTTCTTATGACGTTGTACTGCAGGCATCATTGTCACTGGTTTGTCATTAAAACAACGCCTTTTATATCGATTTTTGACGGAATGGCCGACGTCCGATGTTAAATTTTTACAGCTAATATCGGCCGATACCACGGCGATAATATTGTGCCTCTTAACATATTTCCTTAGTTTGTCACATCTTCATCATATCGGTTTATCACCTCTGCTCACCTGTATTGCTGCTGGCTTGACTGTCCTGAGAGTCACTGGTGTGAGGACTGTCGACACTTGAGCTCAGTGCGGCTAAGGCTGCGGCCGCCCTCTTGACCTTCTTCTCTTTGGCCTGAGAGTTCTCGTCATCGCTGTCACTCTCGCTGAGGTCGTCAAAGCCAAAATACTTGATCTTGTAGCTGCTTTTGCCAGCCATGGCCCCTTCAGAACTCGCATCCTCCCCTTCGCCGTCTTTGTCCTCAAACCCAAAGAACTCCAGTTTGGTCTCGGCCTTGGTCTTCTTCGTCTTTGTCTGGACAGGCCTAAACCTAAAAAAAAAACAAAAAAACAATAGAACCAACGTTTCTCAAAAATACGATTTGTGCAATTAAGATTATTTTCCTGCTTAGTTTATTACATTTCATTTAATCTGCATTGCTGCAATACTAAATTGTTTTTTTGTTTTTTTCCCCCCCATTTTGACCCACATGTAAGTAGTTCAATAAACTAACATTTAAAAGAAAGGGGAAACAAGAGGACAAGGATATGTCATTTTTGAGTGAAAAAGTAACAACCTCCAAGTACTGTTTGTCGTTTTAGAGTAAATGCATTGAACAGATAAACAATGCAAGGCAACTTCAAACACTGACTACTGCTTTCACATTGCTGCTTTTAGAAGTTATAGAAGAGAGGAAACATGGACCGCTATAGGTGACACTTAAAAAAGAAAAAAACAGAACAGGGTCCGACTTGTGTGCAAACCGATCAAATTACCAAGATAAACCAAACATCACAAAGTTAAAATAACCAAGGTGTGACATCTAAATTTAAATTAGAGTTCAATTTTGCAATTTGATGCATAATTTAAAAAAATATATTAAATTACAGAGATTGTATGTAGAAGCGAATAGAAAGGTGCAAATAGTTCAGAAGAAGATTAGATTTCAAAACTCCTTATTCCACAAGAATAGCTTCAAATTAGACAGAACCCTCACTCGGAATAATTTTCACTACAATACAACTTTTGAGACAAAACCGAAAAAAATAATTAAAAAAAAAGAGAGAGAGAAACCTACCGAGTCGGTTTAGGTGGTTGCGTGTCCGACTTCTTCTTCATCTGACCTGCCTCTCCCAGGTCAGCGGGGGTGGGCTGTGCCACGAGTTCATCGATGCTGCGGTCCATTGAGTCCTGGATGGTGACGTTGCACACTGACAAGCAGGACGGGTGCAGAACTGTGTAGTCCCGCACCCTCCCGCCGCCCCTGCCTGCGGGCTTGGCTGCTGTGTTAGCACTGGCAGCGATACCACTTGCGCCAGCAGAAAGGACACTATTGGATTTATCTTGGGCACTTGAGGGGTCAGTGGGCTTGTCACTGTTGCCGTCGCTGAATTCATCAAGTGCTTTGTGAGACCGGTGGGGTCGTTGGTATTTCTTGCAGTTTGAGGCCCTTAAGGTAAACGGGGACGGGGGAATGTTGTCCACCGGTTCTGGCGGGGGCTCCGTGGGAAGTTCCTGGTCAGCACTTTTCATTTCCTCCGACAGGGATCCGTCATAAGAGCATGCAGGTTGGGTGCTGTGCGTTCCTCCGGGTACGTTTACCGACATGGAGGCGTCTAAGTTAGAAAAGGAGGAAACCGGCATCTGGGATACTGGCAAGTTTTCGTTGTCGAAGAGGACAGTCTCTGAGACGCAGGTCACATATACAGGTTTTTGGCTGCCGGCCAATGCACTTTTGTACCACGGCTGATTGTTTTTAACATCCTTTTCTGACGTCTGCTTATCTGCGAAGATAGAAGAAATGCATAGACTGTTACACAACACTAAAACTGAAAATATTTTCAAGAAGACTTGGCTGATTACATGCATTTTGGTTTTTAAAATGACAACGTTTCATGTACGAAGCCAACAAAAGTCATGGTCACGCTCTACTCCCCAACAGGCCGTTTCTACAAGTGGCTACTTACTTGTCAATGTTGCCGTTATACTTGCAGAGGCCTGTGCTGATGTCACGACGGCAGCAGTCACTCTGCTCTGCGCTGTAACCGGCTTCGGTGCGGCCTCTTCTGGCATCTTCATTTCAGAAACATTTTCGGAGGTCACAGTCTTGGACTCTTCGTCGCTGTCAAACCCAAACGGGTCTTCGCTGTCGCTGTCCTCAAGCCTGGGCCTCTTGGAGACCTCAGTTGCTCCAGGTTTTAATAAAGGCTTTTTGCCTCCCAGCTGCGCCTTGTAGGTGGTCTCCCCCCATTTGGTGGTCAGGGTGGGCTTCTTGTTGGAGAAAACTTCTTCAAATTTGGAATTCGCCTCCCCTCCCTTGCGGTTGTAGGTTTTACCGAATCTGGATGTCATGTTGGTTGCTGTATGTTACATATTCTCTGTAAACACAGGAAGAAGCATCACCAAAAATGATGCATTCTATTCACCATTCTATAACTTAGTAGTTTAGGTCATTAGTGCCAAAATAGTTCAGGTTTGAAATGGATTAGTGCAGGAGTCAGTTTATACTCCCCAGGGTAACATTTATAACTACTTTGTATGTATCTATAACTGTTATTTCTGGTTTAATCAGGGGTCCTAATCCGACATGTTTGGTATGATGCAGATAAGACACAGACCCAAGGAAGGAATTAAAATAATAATAATAAAAAAAACCAGGTTATGACATAGATTTCATTAAATGACAAACACTTAAATTAAGTTAT